TAGAAAACTCAGGTGTCCGTGGATGTGGGTCTTAAGCAAACTATGGTATCCCGTACAGTGGGATACAGGAGGCCATTAGAAGAAAAGCAATATGTATTGATGTCGAATATTGTCAATGTGGAATACCAGTAGGATATGACAGGCCGTGGTTTGTGGCATAATGAAGTCTGTATACATGTAGATGTATATGCATATGATTATGTGTGGCTAAGTATGTACATATGTATGTCTTCTTTTTCATTAACATAAGAAGAGGCTAAAGAAAGAAGGAAATCATTTTTCACATCTATCACTTTGCTCTGTGTGAATTTACCATGTTTATTATAAAAGAAACAATTAGGGCTAGAGAGATGGCTCATCTGTTGAGAGTGCATACTACTCTTACACAGGAACCAAGTTTACATACCAGCCCCCACATACATCAGCTTACAACCACCTGCAACTTCAGGGGATTCAGCAGCCTCTTCTGACCTCCACGGGCTTCTGTGTGCACCTGGAATACATAAGCTCACACATGAAAATAAATACATATTCAAAAATTAAAAAAAATACCTCTTTACAAAGGATGTTTGGGGGCAGGTCTCATACATTTTCCTTTATACATGATAAAGAGGTAGAAAGGCTTGTTACACAGTAACCGGCTTTGAACTTTGCATTATATACAACATGAAGAAAGTGTAGGGCAAGGGAAAGCAAGAAGGCGGTGAGCTCAGCGAGATCAGAGGCCAGGGAAGTAAATGTGGAGCAACGCCGCGTTTCTATTCCATTTTCACATCTGAAGTTTAGCTCTGGCATGTGGGAATAACTCTCTACCTCCCAAGAAAAGTGAACACAAGGAGTAAACTTCTGGAGGCCTCATGCCTTTGTTTAACCAGCACTTATGTACTTTATCTTGAGTTCCAGGATATTAAGAGAAAAAAAATGTCAATCGCAGCTGACCAAGGCCTGAGCAAACACCTGGTGTTCTGGAAAAGGACTCCAAGGAGAACCTCAGAAGAGGAAAGTTTCTGGACTGGGTGATCCAGCTCTGAGCCTCTGAGATCTGTCTTGTCTCAGGACATCTGCTGGCACCTCAGTTCTTTAGCTGGGAGATTGTATAATTTGGATACCTGCTGTGATGGTTAATACTGATTGCTAACTTGACAGGCTCTAGAATGGCCTAGTAGACAAGCCGCTGGGCTTGTCTGTGGGGGATTTCCTAGATTTGGTTAACTGAAGTAGGAAGACCCATCTTAACTATGAATGGTACCACCCCATGGGCTGGGGTCCCAAAGCAAACAAAAAAGAGAAAGCTATCTTTCATTGCTCTGTGCTTCCTGACTGAGGTCTAAAGAGACCAGCTGCCTCATGCTCCTGCCCCCCATGTCCTTCCTGCCATTACAGACTGGACTTTCAAACTGAGCCAGAACAAATCCTTCCTTTCTTGGGTTGCTTTTGTCTGAGCAACATGAAAAGCAGTTAATACACCTGCTTGCATTTGGGAAGACTTCCTGAGGAAAAACCACTGAGGCTGAGAAGGGTCTGCAGCCACCATGTAAGTGCTGGGAATCGAACCTAGGTCCTCCACAGGAGCAGCCAGTACTCTTAACTGCTGAGCTGTCTCTCTAGTCCCCACTGGCATCTTTATACAAAGAAGAAAATGAGGTCACAGACTGTTAAGGAGGGACCTCCCTGGCTAGCAAAGACACAACAAGGGGCAGTCTGCAAGTCAAGGGGAGAGGTCTCAGAAGGACATGGTCATGCAGACACCTTGATCGAGTTTCTAGCCTCCAGGCAGGTAAGACAATGCATTCCTTTCGTTTAAGCCGCTGAGCTGGTACTCTTGTGGCATCTCTAGCAGACAACTGCACTCAGCTGCCTGCTTTTACCATTTCCTCTAAGCCGTGGGTGTGGTTGAATAAACAAACACTAGTCACTAACTGGCCTGTCATTGAACTTCTGACCACTTAATGACACCCTGAGAACTCTCCCCTCCCCTGCCTGTTTACTCTCCTGTCTCCATCTGTGTTCCGCCCCCAACAACGAAATGACCTTTTTTTTTTTTTTTTTTATTCCATGAAGAAACAATTAGGAGAGAATGCCCCTGTGTCATTGTCACCAAATCCACTAACCTTCCAACCCCACACCATATTTCCCACCTCTGTTTTGTGAGGTGCTGGAGCTCCTGTCCACACCCTCACCATGCCTCAGATTCTTCTCCTTACCCATGAACCAGGCCCTCAGAAAATTCCCTCTCTCCTGCATTTGTCACATGTTACTGATCTAGTGACTGACCTTGTCATCCTGTAAAAGTGCTGTGAAAGGTCTAATCTCAGAGCAAAATGGTCTCTCCAGAATCCCAGTGTATTTCCTAATTTCTCATTACTGTGACAAAATGTCTAAAAGAACAACTGAAGAGAGGAAAGTTTTATTTTGGTTCACAATTCAAGAGGACTTGGTTCATGGTCTCTTGACTCCATGCTTCTGGGCAGAACGTCATGACGTGGAAGGTGCAGCATAGGAAAGCTGCTTACTTATGGCTAAGCAGGAGGCAGAGAGCAGGGCAGGAAATGGCCAGGATAGCATACACCCACAGACCTGCCAGTGGACTGCTTCTTCTTGGTTAGCTTTACCTCCTCAGATTCTACAATTTTCCAAAATAGCACCCCTGTCTAGGGACCAAGAGTTCCAATTATGAGCCTATGCCATCACACCCTGCATTCTCCAATTATATCCTTATTTCTCTGTTCCTTTTGACAGAAAAAAAAATCCCTCCTCCTGAAAACAAATTCAGTCTAACTTACTGATACCACATTCACATGTTCTCTTGATCCTTCTCTGGTGGGCTGTGTCCTCCTCATTACTTTAAAATGCTCCCTCTTGGGGCTGGAGAAATGGCTCAGTGTTTAAGAGCTCTTGTTGCTCTTGGAGAGGTCGGGAGTTCAAATCCACATCCATGTCAGACAGCTTCCCTTCTCATGGGGGAATAACCTGAACAATGACCTATAACTCCAGCTACAGGGGATCCATTGTCCTCACCTGCACACATGTGGTATACACACACAGACGCGTGCACACACACACACACACAGAGAAACATATACACACGTAGACACACACATACACAGACACAGACACAGAGACACACACACAAATAAAAATAAAATGGATCTTAAAAAAAATAAAACATTCTCTCTTGTCAGTGCCATGAAGAGTTTCCAAGCTTCCTGTCCTTCTTTCTCGGGAGTCACCAAACTCTCTTTGCTGGAATCCCTGCATCTTTCTGGTTTCTGCTATAGGAAGGCTCAATGGCTGAGTCTTTGGAACACTTGCCCTCTGTCTATGCACACAGTCTCTCTATGACCTTGCTTATCCTCTTGGTTTTAAAAATTGTGCTGAACCCTTGCCATCGCCCTGTACGTCCTACTGAAATTGATGCCTCCTCTTCCGGGTCTTAAACTTACATCTGCCCAAACAAAAATTCTCCATGTCTTATCCCCAAACCAAATAGACTTCATGCCAGTTTTCCCATTTCTCTGCATAGCAACACTGATCCTTCTTTCGGTCAGTTCTCAGATCAAAAATACTGATATCACCTCTGACTTTTCCCATCCTTAAATAAATGCCACATCCTAGTCAGCAAATGCTATTGCTTCTACTTTCAAACTGTTTCCAGAGTCTGATTCTTTTAAAATTTGCCATTTTGAAGGCTGGGCATGGTGGCACATGACTTTAATCCCAGCACTCGGGAGGCAGAGGCAGATGGATCCCTGTGAGTTCAAGGCCAGCCTTGTCTACATAGCAAGTTCCAGACCAGCTGGGATTACAGGGAGACCCTCTCTCAAAAAAAAAAACCAAAAAAAAAATGTTGCCATTTTGTTATTATTCTGTTAAAGTCATCATATCTGGTCCACGTTTCCACCTCTGCCAGCTAAGATTTATTCTCAATACCAAAGCCAGACTGAGCCTTTCACATGACATGCCAAATCAGCTCAGCCACTGATTTGAATGGTTTAAAAATGAAATGTGGGCCAGTGAGATGACCTTCCAGGTAGACGTCTGCTGTGAAGCCTGATGACCTGAATTCAATGCTGAGGGCCCACATGATGGAGGGAGAGAACTAACTCCTCCAGGCTGTCCTATCATCACTGCTATACAGTGACACATGAGCATCCATGGACATACATGGAGAGAGAGAGGGAGAGAGAGAGAGAGAGAGAGAGAGAGAGAGAGAGAGAGAGAGAATCACAGGGTCACATAAAATAGTTAAACAGAAATGTTATTTTAAAAGTTAAAAAAGGTGAAATGCACACTTCAAGAAGCCTTCCTGTCCTATAGAGTCACAGATTACCTGCCTCCTGCTACCCTCAAAACGCCTCTCTCCCTCAATCCTCTAGTCTTACTACAATGGCCACCTTGCCGCTCTTGAAACAGGCCAAGGGCTTTCCTGCTTCAGAGTCTACATCTAACATTCCCTCTGCTTGGAAAATGACTGTCCTATAGAAACCTTTTGCATGATCCCTCATATGACTTAGGTCTCTGTTTGAATGTGGAAACAGACACCCCCTTAGGAAAGGGGAAGTGGGAAGAGCCACTCTGTTTTTTGAGTTCCCACTTGGGATGCAGTATTACTACATATGAGACACGCCGTACATGTAAAATCGCATCCCCTCAGTAGCTCTGTAGAGAAAACAGCAATAACATTTATTTAGTAGTGGATTACTACATCTCAGGGAGTAGTGTCTTAGGGAGTCTGCTAAACACCTTGGATAAATTAACTCATCCAGTCATAACAATCCTGTGAAGAAATTAATATTGGTCTCTGCTTCATACAGAAGCTTAGAGAGGTTAATTAACTTGACCCAGCCAACAGCCAGGGCTGAATTTGAACTGATGCTCCTTGGAGAGGAATCAGACTTAAGTTGAAAGTTTAAGGGTGTCTGAGCAGGATTTTATCAAAGCTAAGTAGAGATGGGGAACTCATTCCCAGGCAACGGCGTCCTGTGAACAGAGAGTTGGGCAGCCTTCCAGGGAACACATGTAGGAAAGCATTAGGGGTGCCGGTGATAAGTGCTGGCCAGGAGTAAAGGACTGTTCCAGTGTGCCTGCTGAGGCTTGGGGTCCATGGGCTCTGCAGTCTGGAGTGCCTCTTGAGGCCCTTTAAACCCTCATTGGTCCAGCCACCAGTGGAACTCTGTAGCAGGGGGTTGGGGGGTGGGGGAAAGGAAGCAGATAAAAGGCAAGTGAAAGCCGGAGGTGCAGGCTCCGAATACCATCGGCCAGCACTCGCTCTCTTCCTGCCTAGCCTCGGCTGACCTCCTCAAGGGCCCCATGGCCAACTGCGAATTCAGCCAGGTGTCTGGGGACAAACCTGGCTGCCGGCTGTCTAGGAGAGCCCAGATCTGTCTTGGCGTGGGTCTCCTCGTCCTGATCGTCGCCGTAGTGACAGTGGGCGCAGTTCTGTGGCCGCGCTCACCCATGAAGTGGCGTGGGAAGCCTACCACGAAGCATTTTTCCGAAATCTTCCTGGGACGATGTCTGGACTACACTCAAATCATCAGGCCTGAGATGAGGTGAGTGACGTCTGGGACACACGCTGGGCACCGAGCACAGCCGGACTCCGCAACACAGCTGGAACCCAGGCTGGGAGCGGTCCTGATCGCTCCAGACAAAGCATCCTGTGTCGTAGAATGCCGGCTGTGGGCAGTGCTGAGTAAGGTTCCCGGCTGAAAGTCTGTCCTTTGCTACTTGTCAGAGCCCCTGGCCGCCCCAGCGTGCCCGCGGTGCTGATGCTGGCGCCGCTTGCCCGCCAACGACCCTCAGCTGAGCTCCGCTGAGATGTGGCCTGAGCCGGCCTCTGTGAGCCCAGGCCGCCCCCAGCCAGAGCCGAGATCCAGGGACAGTGACTCCCAGGCGCAGGAAGTTGACATTTTCCGTTGGCACACGGTTTCCCCCCTGCCGCCGGGAAGAGGGTTCCAGGTGACACTTAGCTAAGTCGCTTGGGGTGGAGGAGGAGGAGTCAGAAAGGACAGATGACTGTACGTCGTTTTATTCATCTTTATGAAACATCACCCTGAAGTAATGTCTCATGCCTATAACCAACCCCAGCACTGTGGAGCCTGGGTCAGGAGGATTGTCATGAGTTCAAGGCTAGCCTTGGCTGCATAGCTATTTAGTGAATTCCAGGACAGCCTTGCAATACAAAGTAAGATCCAGTCTCAAAATACAAACAAAAAACAAAAACCACCTCCCTACCCCCAAATCAAACCCAAACAAAAACAACCATAAACAACTTTTTGGTTCTTTTAACACTCAGAAATACATGTGACCCTTAATAAAACAAAACAAGGGAGCTGTAGAGATGTCTCAGCAGTTAAAAGCACTGGCTGCTTTTCCAGAGGACCCAGCAGTGTGTAATTCTATTTCCAGAGGATCAGATTCCTTCTTCCGGCATCCACAGACACTGCTCGCTTGCGGTGCACTTACATATGCTGGCAAAACACCCATTCACACAAAATAAAATAAATAAAACAAAAATAAAATATAAGACAAGATAGATTTTAAAACCTGAAATATTACTCATTGGGTCAGCTGCATCCGCTGGGTGAATCGGTACAGAGCTTGGGAAACAACCTACATGAGCCTGTGGAAACGTCCCTCCAGCCAGGACCCTCCCTGCCTCTAGAGAGAAGGGCTTGTTGCATTTCTATTACTAGGACTGGGTTTTGGTGTAGAACTAATTTCCGAAGTAGAACAGAAAGCAAAACAGGCTGGGAAAGCGTTCAGGGGAGCTGTGTTTGTTCAGTGTTGAAATGCCCATGTGTTGAAATGCCTGTATGGTCTGGCTTTCCACATGCTCAGCGGTTCTGGTCTTGATACTGGTCTTAATTTTGAAAATGCTCATGTAGAAATATTCCCAAGTTCCTGTTAAATATTCTGTTTGCAGATTAAAAATGGCTTTGACAGTTCAATCATTTTTGGTAAATTCATGCAGTACTTGGATGAGTACATCCATACAGCAAGCTAGATACCCAGAATCAGCTTAATGTGTGTGCAGCATTAAAATTGTACATGTGTCTATGAGCATTGTAATCCACATATGTTTATGTATATGGATTCAGCAAATATTAATGTATTCATATTTATTTAAATGCCAACCCAGTTAAAAATAACAGAATATAGCCTGTTGATATTTTAAAGTTTTATATTCATTTATTTATTTATTTATTTGGTGCGTGTGTATGTGTGTGTGTGTGTGTGTGTGGTGGGGAGGCATGCATGTGTGATGGTGTACGTGTGGGAATCAGAGAACAATCTTTGGGAGTTTATTTTTGCCTTCCATCTTGTGGGTTCTGGGATCAAACTCAGATCCTCAGATTTGGCAGCAAGCATCCTTGTCCACTCACCCATCCATTGACACAGTCTGTTAATATTTTGATAAGTATCTTTCTACATGTCTCACTGTGCACACACAAACATGTACTTACACACATTTTATAAAATTGAATTAGTGATGGTGCTTATTGTATGCTGGGACTTACAAAATATCCAATCCGTAATCTTTTGGGTTTTTAAAAAATATTTTATTAATTCTATTTTATGTGTATGAGTGTATTGCCTGCATGGAGGTAGGTGCACACCCGTGTTGTGCAATGCCCACAGAAGTCAGAAGAGGCCGACGGATCCCCTGGAGTTATGGATGGTTGTTAGTCCCCACGTGGGTGCTGGGAATTGACCCTGAGTCCTCTGCAAGATCAGCCAGTGCTCTTAACTTCTAAGCCATCTCTCCAGCCCCCAATCTGTAGACTTTCAACAACCATATCGTTGTTGAGAATGCAGTTCAGAGGTAGGGCTCTTCCCTAGCTTTCACAAAGTCCTGGGTTCATCCCCAGCATCACAATAAGTGAATGAATGAATAAACAATAGATCATAATAGGTTAGAATAAGAGAGAATCACACAAAAGACCTACCATTGGTATCGTCATTGACAGATAAAGAGTTACAAAGTTTGAGTAAATTTCCCACATTTGCTTGTAGACACAGAACTCCTAGCCATGGTCTATGCATGTTTTATAGATAGACTGGCTGCAAAGTTTATAGGCCATGCAGAGACCTTTGAAATAGAGAGACGATAATACTAATAACCATGAGTCAACCAGCTTAACTGGAGCACATGGTACCTTGTCCTCCAGGGGTTTGAGAATGTTAATTTAGAAGTCATACTGTTTAGCTCAAATCTGGCTCTGTGGCACTGTGACTTTTGACTAGTTTCTCAATGTATCTCCTAGTGTTCTCGTCACGTATGATGGAAACACAGAGTACCCAGCACCTGGACAAATGACAGGACTAAGGAATAATCTCGTCCTAGTAAGTGCTTAAAATGCTATTGCTGTGAAAGTGCAGTGCTGCAGACCCCTCTCCACCACATAAAACACCAATTAAGCACAACCATTACATGGATTTAAGCCACACCAGTGAGTCAGTGCTCCAGTGCTGGGAGTTGCATTGTTTTTAATTTATTGAACTGACTTGTTAGCACTTAGTGGCAAAGGCCTTTCATGTTGGTACACAAAGTTCTACCTCATCTTTATAGGGTGGATATAATCATTTCTAGTTGACAAAAAATTATTTTCATTCAATTTATTTATTTGCTTACTTTTGGGGTGGAGATCCATGCCACAAGGCATAAGTGGAGGTCAGAGGACAACTTGGGGGGAATCAGTTGTCTCCTTCTACCATGTAGATTTTGGGGCTCAAAGTCAGATTGTCAGGCTTGGCAGCAAGGACCATTATCTTCTGAGCCATCTTGCCTGCCCAGTTTCCAATTTTTTAATCCTATTCATTCATTCATTCATTCACTCATTCACCAAATATTTGTTGAGCCCCTGCTGTGCTCTAGGGAGTGATCTTCCCTTCTAGGGAAGGGACAGGAGTGCAGATGAGTTCCCATTCGCCAGTGGCATCTTCAATGTCTACCTTCATGCACATGTTGGACTGTTCTATATGGCAGGTTACCAATGATGGACTGTCAAGTGGGAAAAGGATGCATATTTTAAGTTTTAGTGTCTTTTGAATTCCAGATGTTTCCAAATCCCCTCCAAAACTGCTTCACTGCTTTACATTTCCACCTCAGCCTACAAAAGGGCCTCCTTCACCATGATCTGCCATGACTGTGCCTTCAACTTTTTTAACTATGAGAAAAATAGCATCTAATTGTTCCCCAATTGCCAGTGAGTCTTATTAGCATGTTATCTGGTGTTTGATTGTTTTTGTCATTTAAATTTTGTTCATATTCTTGATCCTTTTTGTTGATTCATTTACTTATTTATCTTAGGGGGCATTCTTTATGTCTTAGGTAATATTTACACAAACACACAAAGTGCCTTATAACCACATCCTTGAAATGCCCACCCCAAGAACACATTTCACTGACAACACCTTGAGTTTAATTATTAACCTGAGGACATTTCTTATTTTGATACCCTTATCAAAAAGACCAAGAATGACAGTTTTATTTTCAAACCTAACAAATCATAACTTGGAAATGTCTGCTCTTTGAGTCTGCACTAGGAATAAAGAATTCTTTCATCTTTTTCTGTCTGCACTTTATCTTACACAGCTAAAAAAGAACGGAGACTTCTGCTCTGAAGTCTTCTGAGCCAAATCCTGGGTTCATGAGGTTTATTTTGTACATCTCCATTTAAATGTTTTTAATTTTGTTTTTGTGTGTATTAGTGTTTTGCCTGCACGTGTGTAGGTGTACCACGTGCATGCAATGCCTGTGGAGTTCAGAAGAGGGTATTGGATCCCCTGGAAATGGAGTTACAGGTGGTTGTTAGCCACCATGTAGGTTCTGGGAACTGAACATGGGTCCTCTGCAAGAGCAGCCAGTGCTCTTCACTGCTGACCCATCTTTCTAGTCCCTGTACCTCCATTTCTGTGGTTGGCAGAGTTCTCATACTTTATGTACTTCATGCCAGGGGCCACCTTTCTTCCAGCCTCCAATAAACACTTCCTGTGTGTGAGGCCACATGAACAGTCTCTTGAGAACTTCCTTCTTCTGCATGGCATCCTGTCAGTGCTAAACCACAGGGTCCCCAAACAGAAATTATATATAATATAATCAGAGAGAGAGAGAGAGACAGAGAGAGAGAGAGAGACGAGAGAGACAGAGACAGAGACAGAGACAGAGGAATGGAGGAAGAGAGAGAGAGAGACAGAGAACTACTAAGGAATTGGTCCACGTTAGTGTGGAGGCTGGTAACACAAATATCTGTCCTCTACGCCAGCAGGTTGGAGCCCCGGAACTGCTGATGCTGTGGCTTGGGTCTGAAGGAAGTCTGGCAGGATCCCCTTTCCTCCTGGATCTTTAGTCTTTTTCTTAGGGCCTGGTTAGCCATGGCCCATTTACAACTATGGAGGGTAAAGTACTTTGCTCCAGCTCTATGATTTGAGTTAATCTCACGTAATGAGACATCTTCACAGCAGCAACCAGATGTGTTTGATGAAAAGCCTGTGTGCCATGGCCTCATAGAGACAACCCTTCCAACGAGTCATCATGCCTTGTTTTAGG